CTATTGTTTTGTCCCCCAGAACAATTCCTCTAGGAAATCAATGCAAGGGTTTTATTCTCTCTCGCTTTTTTTTCGATCATCGTTCCCAAGGAACAACAGCAAGTCGGTTGATATATCTCGGGAATACTACAATACTATTGACTATTAATCGTACTATTTTTTCACAGGTTAAATAAAATTACTCTACTAACGTCGATGAATACTTTGTTAGATTAAATCAAGATGGCGGATGTAAACAAATAATTTGTGCTATGATACCTGGTGGTGCTGTTGCAGGAGGAGGAGTCTGAGGTGGAGGAGTAGTCTGGGGTGGAGGAGTAGTCTGGGGTGGGGGTGGTGTTCCTGTAAAAATATGAATCTTGTTAAAAATATGAAGATAAAATTTTTAGATCAATTGAATATTTGATCTCAATATTTCTCCGTCTTAATATTCCTAATGAAGAACAGGAGAGAACCAACAAGCAACTCTACTCACATGCGACGCAAAATCCCGTAACACATTGTTGAAAGCCAATGCATTATATTAACAGAAAGAAAATATATTATATGCTTTATATATCGTACCTGAAGCACATGCGGAGATCGAGACATCATCGATAGCAATATCTCCCTGCCAATTAATTCCACGAATACCTTCAAAAGACAACTGTTATGGAAAACAGATTTTGGTTACAATCTGCGACCTTCTCTGAGTTTCACCACTTTCGTAAATTGCGCTTTCTTTTTTTTTCCTTTCTTCCTTCCTTTTTTATTTTATCTTTATTCTTGTACGTAATATATATGAAATATATATTCGTACTGCGGTTGTATTGCATATCAAATTGAGTTGATCCTCGCAGTAATGAAGCAACTTATGCAGCTGCAAATTGAAAGATAAATGTCTATGAAATGTTACTTCAAATCCTTATCCGAGCCAAATATACTAAATCAGTGTGGACAAATTGTCCACTGTAAAAAAGCAATGTAAAGAGAAGATAGGCCAGTGAAGCGTGCACGGAAGCCATATTTAATTCATCTTTCTCAATCGTTTACAATTTACTTTCATGACCCTTTCATATGAAAAATCTGATTGCCATAAATACTTAGATTTTAGATTTAGATTTATGCTAATAGCTTCTGAACGCATTATTTACCTTTTGTGATCCACTTTGAGATAGGCGCACTTCAGCTGCCTTCCATGGTTGCCCTTGACTACCAGACTTGCTAAACACCTTGGKGTTATCAACATACACGTTCAGAGTACCAACAGAATTTCCATTCATTTGATAGAAGAACTTGAGACATTCGTTGCCAGTGAGAGTCACTTGTTTCTCGATAACAGCATTATCACCCTTGACTCGTGGATAAGATGTTTCAATGTACATGTAGTAGCCTGCAATTGCACCAGAGCATTTTCAAGACTAAATCTTTCAAACCTTTAACTTGTTTTTTAAACCTACATGTAAGAACCTAGAAGTGTTATTTTGAAATGAACTTGTCTTATCCTTCTTTGAGTACGTAGTGTATAGATGTCTTGAAGATATCATCAACCTTGCATAATTTGCATTTTCAAAACTTCAATCTTTTATCGAGCCATGAAACAACCTCTGGGCTGATCTAAGTCAGGGCATGGCTAACTCACAGATCGAACCCTGAAACAACCTCTGGGCTGATCGAAGTCAGGGCATGGCTAACTCACAGATCAAACCCTGAAACAACCTTTGGGCTGGTCTAAGTCAGGGTGGGGCTAACTCACAGATCGAACCCTGAAACAACCTTTGGGYTGATCTAAGTCAGGGCACGGTTAACTCATAGATGAAATTGCAATTCTCAATCATTTCCTTTTATTGCCAAGCTTTCCTTACCTTTTCCTGATGTATGGTCACCATTTGGACCAGTTCCTTTGGACGGCGTRGCACCAGATTTTCTGGTCCAATCAAATTTATCTCCTTTGCGTTGGGTAAACCCGCACACATTAGCATCAAAGTTGCAGTTGAGCTCTGTAAGGAGAAGTCAGAAGTAGTTAGGTTGTTTTGAGATAGAATGGAATCCCGCTCTATGGACACCCGCTTAATAAGGACACCTCGCTATTAAGGACAGGTTTCAAAGTCCCAACGAAAGCTCCATACATTTTCTGTTAAATTAACCCGCTTTATAAGGTCACCCGTTAATAAGTACAAAGCACACATTTCTAGGACCTGAATGACAGTTTCCATACAAAATCAACCCCGCATTAAAGACATATGAAGTATGAAGACGTCTTTACTGTATTTGTTTATTGATATAATGAAATTAGTATGGATTATATATTCAGTTTTTGCGTATCAACGAACGGACCATACACTGATCATTGCAGTAGACTTTGCTGTTACAGCATAATGAAATAGACAAAGCTCGCAATACCATTGCAATGTTATTTTCCAGAACTCAACTTAAAATGAAATTGTACAATACAGTGCAGAAAACGGGAATGTAGTTCTTATACAGTAATGCACTTTTTGTTCCAGTTTAAGGCTGTTATATTGAACATCGTAGTTCAAGGTTTACAGTACAGTAAAAATAAATGGTTAAAAATGTGTTTTTAGCTGTTTCTTTGACACCTCGGTTAATAGGGACACCCCGTTAATAAGGACAGTTTTGTCCGTCCCAACGGTGTCCTTATTAACGGGGTTCCACTGTATTTTGAAAAATTCAATAAATGGGAGCAGATTTGCTCGTCAAATTGTTCAGAAGAACCATCAAACCAAGCTAACTCACACATTGAACCCTGAAACAATATCTGGGCTAATCTAAGTCAGGGCACGGCTAACTCACAGATCAAACCCTGAAGCAACCTATAGGCTAATCTGAGTCAGGGTACGGCTAACTCACAGATTGAACCCTGAAAACAACCTCTAGGCTAATCTAAGTCAGGGCACGGCTAACTCACAGATTGAATCTTAATAAAGCCTGTTGCAAATTGCAAGAAGGCAAACGCATTGTTCTTACTTGGAAGAGGTGGAGTAGTTGGTGGCAGCGTCGGCGGTATTGGTGGTGGAGTTCCTAGTAATAATCAATTAATCAGTTATATTAGTAAAAGAAAAAGACGAAGATGAAGATGAAGATGAAGATGAAGAACGACAACGACAACGACATTTGAAACCCAGAAATTTTGCAATATCACGAATAATTGTTAATTGTAATTACCTCCACCGCATTTAGGGAATGAAATATCATCAATTGCTATATCTCCCTGCCAAGATACTCCTCGAACACCTTCAAATCGAATCTGGAAGAAAAGAGGAACCATACTGGTTTGCATTGCTACCATGACAGTTAAGAAATCGTTTATGTCTCCATATGCAAGCATTCCAGGATTTCAGCACGCGTTTTTCAAAACAAATGCATGAACGTTCAAATATATTTTTTATTTTTATAAATTTTATCTGTGCTTCTAAAAGGGAAATACTTACCAACCCCGTTTTAGATACTATTTAAAGAAAGGTTGGTGGAAGTTTTAATTGCTTGTTGCAAGCTGCATAGCAAGACCACAACAACAGACCAGTTTCGAGTTCGAAATAATCCTATGTAGAGTTTGCCTTATGTACAAATGTGTTCTTTTCTTTTGTTAAGGTCCATTGTATAGTAAGCAATGTACGTACTAAGGAACAATACGAGTTGATTAAAATGCCAAGGTTTTTCGTTAAATAGCTGAATATTATAACCCACAACCGAGACTAAGACTGAGCAAAGAGAACTCGAAACTGGAGTACTACCGCTGTATTTCTTGATTACAGACTCATTTACACAGGGTTAGCCTCGATTTTGTGTAGAATATTCACGTGTTCCAATCAAGGTCCGTCGAGTTTCAAAGTGTTTTTGTTTCTAAAGTTGTATATTCTTTACTTTAATTTACCGTTGGTGCTTGTGAATATTTAGACACTGATTCGAGGCTAATACTTAGATTTTAGACTTAGATTTATGCTAATTAGCTGCTGACCGCATTATTTACCTTTTGTGATCCACTTTGAGATAGGCGTACTTCAGCTGCCTTCCATGGTTGTCCTTGACTACCAGACTTGCTAAACACCTTGGTGTTACCAACGTACACGTTCAGAGTACCAACACTATTGCCATTCATTTGATAGAAGAACTTGAGACATTCCTTGCCAGTGAGAGTCACTTGTTTCTCGATAACAGCATTATCACCCTTGACTCGTGGGTAAGATGTTTCAATGTACATGTAGTAGCCTGCAATTGCACCAGAGTATTTTCAAGTCTAAATCCATTCAAATCTTTAAATTCTAACGATGATTAAAAAAAACACGTCTTTAAATAACTAGACACTCTTGTTATTTCGGTGTGAAGTCGTTCTAGCACTTTCTCTTTAACTGGGAACGCTTTTCCCTCACACACACTATCGCTACATTCAATATTCTATGCACACAATACTCGACTCAGTGGTGGATCCAGGATTTTTCAAAGGGGGTTCCGTTTCTTAAACTGTGTATAATTCTCTTTTGTTTAGTCGATGTCTGACAAAAAAAATGGCTCTAATCACCTAATTTACTATCTAGTAACGGAACTTAAAGGTAAATTAAACATTATAACAGCAAATATTTATCATTTCGTGTTCAACATTATCCTTGTGRATACTTTTAAGCAAAATTTATATAAGATATTTCTATTACCTAAAAGATCAAACCTTCAAGGGGGGTTCCGGGGCCCCCTTCCCCCCCCCCCCCCCTGGATCCGCCACTGCGACTCAAATTTTTAATTTTTTCGGATGGAGGTAATTGGAGAACCAAGAGAAAACCTTTCGCCACATTCAAGTCATTCAAGTCCCATATGTCCGCTCGTGTCCTACACGTTATAAGTTTTTTCTCGAAATCTAGGCTAATTACGTACAACACTTATCTTGTATATTGCTATTAGTTTATGTACCATTTCCAGTAGTATGGTCACCGGTTGGTCCTGTTCCTCTTGACGGAGTGGGTCCGCTTTTTCTCGTCCAATCAAACTTGTCGCTTTTGCTCTGAGTAAAGCCACAGGTATCCCGTTCAAAATCACAGACAGATCCTAAAGAAAGAAATAGAAAAGTTATTTTGAGTCATTAGTATGCATGGGTTTAACGTTTTCCAATTTCAAACCACGTGTCAGTCGATTTCTTGAGGATAAGATTCTTTGTTTGGGTTGTTTCCATATTCATGTGTCTTCTCATGCGAAATTGTCAAACAAAGAAATGATACTCTAGGGAATGACACATGGTCTTGAGAATAAGATTCTTTGTTTGGGTTGTTTCCATATTMATGTGTCTTTTYATGCGCAATTGTCAAACAAAGAAATGATACTCTAGGGAATGACACGTGGAAATCACGCATTGTTTAGGGAATTTTCCGATTGAAATAATTGGAAGTAAATTATAATTTACGTTGTAGTTTGTCATATTTTGTAATATGCCTGCCTTGCTCGTAAAGGACTTACTGTAAGCACAAAACCTTCCTGCAGAAAAACACTCGCATCAAAGGAGAGATACTGCCACAAAACCTACTCACATTTGATGCTAAGTCAAGGAATTGAACCCGAGATCACAAAGTACTGAGGCGACTTCACTACCGCTTCAAAACCCTTGGTTCTACTGAGTTAATGAAGGTACTAACCTAGCGGAGGAGGATTTGTTACGGGAACTGGTGTTGGTGTTGCTGAAATGACAATTGAAATCCTTTACAACGAAATGCATGGTTGCACTTATTAGTTTTAAAACTATAAGATTTTAAATTGTTTTTGGTTTTGTTTTGCAAGGAAGCAAGGAAGCAAGGAAGCAAGGAAGAAAGCAAGCAAGGAAGCAAGGAAGCAAGGAAGTGAGGAAACAAGAAAGCAAGGATTTGAAAGGAATGAAGAAATGAAGCCGGAGGACAGGCAAGAAATGAAGCCGGAGGACAGGCAAAGAGGCAGGCAGGTAAAGAAAGGGGCCGGAAAACAAAGTGATTCAACAATCTATGGCATCTTACCGTTT